GAACGTTCCCCACCCACGTGTGACCCCGCAAATTTAAATTCAGCTCCCCCGTACCCGCGGGTAACAAGTACGGCCCCGTGAAAGTTTTTTACAGGTAAATTAATGTCTCGGGAACCACGAAGTCTAGGAGGTTGAAATTTTAGGGCTATGACCCCCTGCCCGCGCTCAACCTTGCCTATTCAAATTCAGCGTTCCCGCACTCTCGGGCTAGTGAAGGTTTTTTCGGGTAAATTATTATCTCGAAAATCACGGGAAGATATTCACCTCTCAAGGTTTCGAATTCAGCTTTCATGCGTTGGTGCGTGAAATATTTGACTGATTTCCAATGTCTGAACTATTTTTGCATAGACTAAAGCACAAAGCAATGAAAATCATTAATAGGCAATCGTTCGATGTACTGAATTGCACAAAACGTATGATCGCACCGGCTAGGCTGGTGAGCGTTGCTATTTATTTTTTTCTCCATTTATGCATCTGGTAGCATATCCAGCTACTTTGGCCAATGCTGCATCGTCTGTTGGTCATCGTCTAGTGTGGTCAGCTCACACTAGACGATGACCAACAGACGATGCAGCATTGGCCAAAGTATCAAAATTCGATTGTGTTCCTCTCCACGGTGGTGTGCCAGCAGCGCCAAACAAATTGCATATGTTAACACATAGATGCGATTTCAGGCCCCTTGTCCTCTTCCAGTCTAATTGTCAGGAATATTCACTGTTTTTATATTTAAAATTTCTACAACACTTTAAGGAAGTTGACTAGTTTCATCTCTTGAAGATTGTTTTCTTAAGACATAGTAAAACAAAAGGATAAAAAATCAGTGTTACAAAATACGATGTTTTTTTTGCGAAGGCTGTGAAGAAATATTACGTTCAAATGATAATTTTACACTATTTCAGCAAAAAAAGGGGAGCTGCTTATAGAAGAGAGTTGATCCTGTCCAAGTTTCGTGTAACTCATCGTCAATGGAGTTATATATATGGCCATCAGACTTTGGCTTGCCTTCCGTGGATTCGCGCTGTCTCCAATTTATGGTATTTTTCCACATGTTTTCTGAACGAACTGATTTTGACACTGGAAATAATTTAAGGGGACCGAATTTTTGAAAATTCTGAACGATTCCAGCGCGTTAGATGGACGGGGAAAGAAAAGGAGGAAGCGGGCAAA